CTACACGCGTTACCCATTGGCTATCCGGTTAGGTGATCGATCGACTTCCGTTAATAGCAGTCAATTGTCAGGAGGGAACAGACGCCAAATGCTGCATTTCTGGCTGCCGTGACGTCGACGACGGTGACGGCAAGCAAAACTAAACCATCGGACGTCTTTTCCCATTTTTCTTGGCGGGTTACTATTTCCTACGTGTGGTGGAGGGAAGATCCTCCTCTGCCTCTGCTGGCGTTATGGAAGCTTAATCAGCAAAACCACACCATTTCGGTCCCTTGGTTGAGATTGGATTGCGTTTACAAAAAAGATGAACCACATGAAGTTTCGTGAGTTGTGCCAACGGATAGATCCACCTCCACGACCCTAGTTGATAAATGGAATCCTAACAGGTGTGTTGTATGCCCTCCAGAAAGCCACTTTACCCCTCTACCAATGGCTGTCGATGCATTTATGCATTAGTTTAAGGGAAGTTACAACTCTGCAGACAGTTTGGATGCATACTTTGTGTACCCGAAACTTGTTTATCCTACAGCTCAAAGTTCAAAACGCTTTTATTTTCAGTCAAATACATTTCATGTATTTGCAAAAATTTGTGCTAATAATTTTTATTACTAGAAAAATTTTTGAATACTTGAATTGAATTTACCCACCTCTATGGATTTGAGTGTTTTTAAATGGGTGCACTTTATTTCGCTCTTCTGATTGCATGTACAATAGAAGACTTTCTCTTGCATAAGTAAGTTTTTTTGGGATAGCTGCCAAGACGAAAGAGTACCTAAGCCTTGGTTCGCGAATAGGTAAAGCTATTTACATTTATTTTTTTAAAAGCTGCGATCCATTAGTAGAAATTTAAAGGAATTCAACGTGGATCTGGAATGCGCATTGAAACAAATTAATTGCGTTTGGAATAACTTTGACTCGACCCCGACCAGCTCCGTGTCGATGAAATGAAGGAGTGCTTGAGATTAACTTTTCAAAGGGATACAGCTGCTTACTTTTAAGGATATAATTGCATACCTGTGGTTCGCATTTAAATAAAATGTTAGTGTTTTCAGTAATAGTGACTCGGCTTCATCCAGTTACAATTCATTGAATTGAAAGAGTACTTGAGATTTACTTTTCGAAGGGGCACAGTTGCTTACTTTTGTTTTGACACAGCTTAGATCATTTCGACCAAATTATGACGATATTACGGCGGTCCTATTAGACGCGTTCCAATAAATTACTAGTATTGAAGTAGATCTCCTGTTTCAGTTGTAGCAGCACGGGACTCTATGCAATTTCTGATGATTCCTCTCTTCGCTGAGAAGTTAACAAGCTGGCTGGGAGAGTTGGTTTTGTGGTGCAAAGTTTCTCCACCAATGTGAGTGGGCGAACTCCGTGTCTAAGCTGGTTGATTATCCATTCAGTAAACTTGGAGATTAGTTGCGTTCTCTTCGCCAACTTTGGCGAGAAATGGTAATGAAAATTGGCGTGCAGAGTCATTGTAAGACCCCTTTTAAAATTCATGATATACTTAAGGGGAAGTAGTTCCACTGGCACTGCCACCAAAGTAATAGGTTTGCCACTTCTCTCTTTCATTTTAATTCGTTCTCATGGATCAAGTAGTCAGATTCTAAGAAGACCTACTTTCCTTTTATTGTGAATGCCTATCATTAGTTAATGGTCATCAGTAATAAGCAATCGAGATAGACCAGTGCAGCCCCAATGCCTACTCACCTTGCAGGTGGTCTGTGAACCCCGTGTCAGCTTAAGCTGAACAAACACGAAGCGCACATTTGTAGGTTTATCAAGGTGCGATCAGTTACTACCTGGTTGATGGCTCTCAGTGAAATAAAGGTGCTTACTATGAAGATATATGTTAAGTTAGGATGATCGCACGAATTGCTGACCTGAGAACTGGAAGAATGAAGAGTTAGAGTGGGGTGAAGGTCATGAAGTCGGTAGATGTGGAAGCGATAACACAGTGCTCTAGGCGCCATCTTCAGCCTCATTAGCCATCACGATCACAGACAGCAGGTCACGAGTGAAGAGAAAAGGCCGCATTAACACTGGAACGTTGGAGACTAATCGGTGCACACTGCTGTCGTCAACCTTCTGTGTCCTGTTTTCTTGTATTCTGCAGATCACACGCCGACCTACTGCAATTTAGCGGTCAGTGATTAGTAACGAGTTGGGCAAGGGTAGTACAACATTCATCCAATTCGGCGTCTGGGGTTGTGCTGGCCCCTACATCAGTCGAGCAGTTGAACTGAGGGTTAGCTCTGGGCTTTTTAGCCACCATTAGCATAATGTGCTCGACATTCAGCTTCTCCTACTTCCTTCTCGTCAATACCTAA